AGAAATACAAATGGAGCCGATGGCAACTGGCATCTGCTGAGGGGAGTTTTATTTTAAGGCTTGTGGTTAAAATTACAGGTCGTTTAAAGATTGAATAATTCGTTTTCTACCGCCAAAGGTTGTTTAAAGTCAGAAAAAAAAATTTTTGTTTAATTCTAAGGTTTTTTTTTCTCAGAAATAGGTAAACTGTCGGCTCTATTCAACCACATTCTCGAATCAATGGTTAAAAATGGCTTTGAACTGGTGAAGACTGTGGATATTGGGGAAGACGATCGTATTTGGAACTTTGGGGATTGGCGCTGTAGATTTTACAAAGAATTGTATCAAATAACAGAAACCGCATCACTTGAAGACTTCAACAACAGAAACAGTTAAAATGAATATCACGTGTATCTTGTATCAATTCCTCATGTATAATACGCATTTTTTTTTCTAAAAAAATATAATGAGCAAAATTAGGGGTACGTATTATGTACAGCTACAAAGAATCTTTAAAAAATTTCCGTTTCATAGGTCAAATTCAGTTGCGAAATGACTATTCCCCCAGAAACATCCGACAATTTGACACTAACATTCGGCGATTGCGACCCCATAAGAATGTCAAATACAATCATATGTTCCTAACAATACTTACAAATAAAATAAGAATTATCATAAAACTAAATTAGAATAATATTATTCTATGTTTAAAATCATTTTTTTAAATAAGAGTAGGAAACGCTGGCCGTAATGAAATTGGGGAGGTGCGATTTATACGGTTTGATTAACAAATAATGGATGCGCATTATGCGTGAGTAGAAGCAATTTCCCACACATCCCGTACAATTCCGAACTTAAAACCTTGATTTCCCTGCTTCATTCCTGTCATATGGTTAATAATTAATATTTAATAAATGTTTTAGCACTGATTATATTGGTACCCTTTCATTTGTCCTTGTTTTATTAACCAACCTATCTATTTTACATAATATAAGCACTCATGGATTATATATATATATATATATATATATATATATATATATATATATATATATTAAATAAAAAGTGAACATAGAACATTTAGAGGCGACAGTCTGTTTCATGCTATATGCAATCGTCAGGCCACTAATTGTGAAAGATGTTTTGTGTGTATAATTTAGTAATAGTAAATATACGAACAGTACAATGCTTTCTAAGTATATCTGGGAAATTAAAAACAAAACGCACATCACACCAAAAATATCTTGGAAGATAAGGAAAATGTCATCAACCTACAACAACCAATCAAAAACTTGCAAACTTTGCTTGGAGGAAAAAATAGCTATCATTACTTTCCCCGACCAAAATAAATTATTAAATAAAAGATCCGAGCTCATCTCAAAATGCAGACATGAAAATAAATTTTTACTACGTAACCTAAAAAGATGAAAAACGGGAAAAATAAAATAAAAACAAATAAATATACTAATAAACAAAATAACAAAAAAAAATATAAATAAAAATAAAAAATAAATAAATACTATGTTACTTAAAAAATCGAAAACCGAAAAGAGAAAATATACAAGTAAAATAAATTGACCTAAATTCATCTAGATCTCGCACCGTTGTGATTGGCTGTTGGTCAATCTCCAATCAAACGTGAGATTACGGGGTATTCTTATAAAAGTCAGCACAAACAAGCATTTTTTTAGAGGGCGTTTCAGAGTCTGATCAGCTCTGAAAGGGTTGATTTGGTGAGGTCAGTATGATGTTTGAAAGACCCGAAACTGTCCAATGATCCTTTTCTAGAACATCACTGACGACGCCCTCTAGCGCTAAAGGAGCGTATATTCAAAGCATCCAAGTAAATAAATAAACAAACCAATCCCAAATAAAGATAATCAATTAAAAACTGTTCCCGCCAAAATAATAGTTAGAATAAACTGCAACAATCAACCCAAAAAATTGAACAAATAGCTTTAATTAAATTCTCAAACCAAAACAAAACTGTTAAATAAGTGATATAAACAATTTTTTACTACGTTAATAAATAAATAAATAAAATAAGAAACAAAAAAATAAAAATAAAAAAAGCAATATAATTTGACCCAAATAAATAAACAAACGACTTCCGGTAAAATAACCGCCATGATAGAATACCCACAATGCACCACTAACCCGCATATATATAAATAGCAGAGAAAAATAACAGCATATGTGGCCTGACGATTGCATATAGCATGAAACAGACTGTCGCCTCGAAGTGTTGACTTCTATGTTCACTTTTATATTTACACACGCTCTATCTCTGATATCGAGCCTTTTATTCCATAAATATAGCACACCTTATTTTTTAATATTTATATTTATTTATATATATATATATATATATATATATATATTGATGCATGTTTCATTAAATAATATAGACAAGTTTTGTCTATTTATTTTAAGTAAGTTCCAACATAGTTTACAAATTCAAGTGTCCTTTGAAAGATTGTATCTCCAATGGATTAAATAACATTTGTTGCTCACACCACAAACTCGCTTTCACGACGCTTGACTCTACATTCGAATGATAACTCTAACATTTTTAGGAATTTCAAACAACATGCCAGGTCGAGTACACAATTCCGGAAAATCCTTGTTGAAAACCCAACTATACTTAAACATGAAAACAATAAACAAAAACTAAAAATTCTTGAAGCTATATACATAAAACTGTTGAAACCTAACCTGAACAAAATAAACTATGAAATCTTCACAAATATCCTTAAAAGTCTATAATTAGTAACAGAAGCCATTAGTTTATAAAAACGGCTTCCCATAATTAATACTTCTCGATTTTCCCTTCCGCGTCTCGTATACACGAGTTAGTCGTTGCTTTGAAATTTTTCATGCAACAAAAACAGACTATCATTATTGTTCCATGTATTGGTGGATATATTGAAAAGTAATTGTCATCTTTGATAATGGCTTATGTAAGCCGAAAGCTTAGATTGGATTTAAACATATATCAATATGGTGATTTCCTTTCGTCTTTCAATGATAATGTTATTAAGCTTATCAGACAATATGAAAGGAACTTACTTAAAATAAATAGACAAAACTTGTCTATATTATTTAATGAAACATGCATCAATGAAAAATTGCTGTGTAAATATACACAATTTATATATATATATATATATATATATATATATATATATATAATTATTTATTCGAAAATTATAACATAAATATGTTATAAAATCACTACAAAAATAGCCGTTTTGTTTCTTAAAACTTCAATGTAGAATAAAGTGTCTTATTTCAAATCAATCAAACATTCCTCGGTGTTGAATGACCAATAGAATAAAGTGTTTTAATAAATTTAATGTTACAAAATAGATTTCACAACACACACACACACACACATATATATATATATATATATATATATATATATATATATTTGTCTTGTATTGTTTTGCACTTGTCTATTCTTATTATTATTTATTATTGAGAATTTATCGATTCCGCTGGGGAGCTACAATTTATAGGGGCTGATATAGGATTTGGTGCATATGCATGAGTACAAGCATTTTCCCAATTTTTCAGCACCGTCTTAGGGGTGCGTATTATGGATAAAGGCGTATTATACATGGGGAATTACGGTAATAAAGATGCTGACATTCCGCTCTACTTCAAGCAAAAGGCGAGGAAGGAAGGAAGGAAACTCCCATGAATACTGAAATGGCAGCCAACAGCTCGAAAACTATTTTCCTGAAAAATTGTTTCAAGAGAATGATTTTATAAATGTCAACCGATAGTTACACTGGCGGCTCGGTCACTGAATGCCGAATGTTTCCTTATAAAGGAAACGAATAATATTATCATTACCATTAGAGAGAAGGTGAACAGATAATACATTTTGATCGCAGTCAAATTGCTAAGAAAGAAAGAAAAGCGCTATTCGAATAGCACGGGCTGCTTGATCAACGAATGCCGGATGTTTCCTTATAAGGAAACGACTAATATTAGCATTATCATTCAAAGAGCAATTGGTATCCCATATCAACTAAAAATAATAGACACCTGAAGATGGCGAGAGGTTAATTAATCTAGAGCAACCAAAGATAATTGCTTGATTGATTAGTTTTCAATGGCTTACAAACACTTTACAGGCTATTTAAAGACACATTTATATTGTAAAATCATTTAATAACGGTTTAGTGATACACGTCCTAGTAATTAACCCATATCTGGGGGGCAGAGGTGGATCCATACCATTTCCAAGGGTATTTGTGCAGAAATGTATATAACGAACCTAATGGGAATTGGAACTTGGCTCTTCGATTATTAATCCTGAGCCATTATCTATTACACCACCAGCACCTCCAAGCTTACAACACCTGGTATTTCCAAAGAGTCACTCATCTTGTTAGCGACAAGGTTCGACGTTGCTTACCTTCGGTGATCGTAAATATTTTACAGCGTTTACGTGAAGCTGAACTTTGATAGGTTATTTTACGCCGCTTATGTGAAGGATTACCTTCACTCTTACGTCAAACGATTTCGTATTCATCTGAAACAACATGGCTTCCAGGCTGAACTTACCGCACAATCACCTATTTTCAGAGTCTTACTAATTAACCCATATATGGAGGGAGAAGAGATGTATTCTTACCTTTCCCAAGAGTATTTGCGTGTAAGTGAATTTAACGAACCCAACCGGAATTGGAACTCAGTTAAACGTAATCTTCCCCAATTATTTGTATAAACTACCCTTAACGTAACTGACAGTGACCTCCGGCCTTGTACAGAGTGACCCTTATTGAAAAAAAAAACATGAACTGGAACTCGGCTGTTGGAATAACAATTCCGTGCCATTATCCAATAAACCACCAAGAAATCCAAGCTTGTAGCAACTGGTATTCTCAGGCGGTCACCCATCAAGTTACCGACCAGACACAACGTTGCTTAACTTCAATGATCATAAACGAACCGTCGTTTCAATGTGATATGGCCATAAACTCTTTATAACATCCGTATATCCAACCTTGCAGCACCTGGTATTCCCAGGCACTCACCCATCTAGTTACTGACCAGACTCAACGTTTCTTAACTTCCGTGATCATACAAGAACGCTCGTTTCAATATGATATGGCCATAAGCCTTTTATAACACCCGTATATCCAAGATTGCAGCACCTGGTATTCACAAGCGGTCACTCATCTAGGTATTGACCAGACTCAACGTTGCTTAACTTCAGGGTCATAAATGAACCGTCGTTTCAATGTGATATGGTCATAAGCCCTTTATAACACCCGTATATCCAACCTTGCAGCACCTGGTATTCGCAAGCGGTCACTCATCTAGGTATTGATCAGATTCAACGTTGCTTAACTTCAGGGTCATAAGTGAACCGTCAGGGTCATAAATGGTCAACCGTCGTTTCCAACCTTGCAGCAATGTGATATGGTCATTCAAGCCCTTTATAAACCGTCCAATGTGTATATCAATATCTTACAGCACCTGGTATTCCGGTCACAGGGTATTGATCACTCACCCATCCGTCGTTTCAGTTACTGGTATTCCAACCTGCAGCGGTTCCCACACTCATCTTACTGGTATTGACCATCTAGGTATTGACCAGACTCAACGTTGCTTAACTTAGGAGGTCTTACGGGAACCATTGTTACAACGTGATGTAGCCGTAAGGTCAATAATTTAGGTCAATAATTATGCCTGTTTTTTTTTGTTTTTTTTTTTTTTCCACTGCGCTTAGCGAAGTGCTCATCAGGGCCACGGAAATTCCATTGCCGGGTCAAGTTTAATGTCCAGTAATGTTGGACGATTTCCTCAAGGAAGAGACTCGAGGCGAAGGTGATGTGGTTCTACAGAAGGATGCTGAGGATTACGAGGTCCGAGCGTGTGAGCAACGGTGAGTTCTTGGAGAGGATGCGAAGAGGAGGCGGCTCATGCTTAACATCAGAAAGAGGCAGGTTTCTGCCACACATAATGAGGAAGAACGGCCTGGAGAATCTGATACTCACGGGTCGAATAAAGGAAAGAGGGACAAGGGAAAGCAGTACGGGATATATCTGGTTGGTTTAAGCAAGCGGATGACAGAACGTGGTCTGGGTGAGGTGGCAGAGAGAAAGAACTTGTTGAGAGCTGCAAGGGATAGGAGGAGGTGGAGAGCCATGATCGCCTACGTTCCTGAAAGGACATGGCACATAAAAAGAAGAAAGAAAGACTTTCACATAGATAATTTTAAAAAGGAATGAGTCAGTATCTTTCCTTCGATTCCAGCGATTAATAGCAGGGTAGACTAGTCTCTCTCACTCGCTTCGGTTGACAAAGCCTAATGTAGAAAAGCTTCCTGAGAAACCTGTTAGTATCTGTCTATATCTCTGAAATGAGATATTATTCACATTATATACAGGTTATCCTCATCTTCATTGCCATATTCACAACGTTTCGGCCGTTATAGGCTCCGGCCTTCTTCATGGGGTTGAAATTTTAGAATCGAACCCTTTATTTCGTCCACCGGGATAGATTGTTCTAGTTCCACGTGCCATGCCTTCAATATCTGTCTATATCTCTGAAATGAGGTATCATGACTACTTGCGTTATTTACATTATTCGGACAGTTATCTTCATCTACATTGCCATATTCACAACGTTTCGGCCTTTGTGCGCTACGGCTTTTTTCGATATCTGTCTATATATCTGAGATGAGGTATTATGATTACTTGAATTATTTACATTATTCGGTCTGTCATCCTCATCTTCATTGCCATATTCACAGCGTTTCGGCTGTTATACGCTCCAGCCTTCTTCAGGGCATTTGAGTTTCGAACCGAATCCTTTATTTCGTCCACCGGGATAGATTGTTCTAGTTCCACGTGCCATAACTCTTCCCAATGTCCTCGAGGACACATGGCCCAGACATTGGTTAGATCCTATGACTAGACCCGAAGAGCTGTGTGTTCAATACCAGGCCACAGCAGTTGTGAACCAACAACTTGGAGGGTTGAGTTAAAGGGTAATAATTGAGCTTGTGAATAGCAGGTGCTGCAAGCTTGGGTGTGCGGGTGGTGTATTGGATAATGGCACGGAATTGTAAATCGGAGAGCCGACTTCCAATTGTGACACTATTTAGCGGTCGCGTGAAAATGAAAAGCGAGAAATAATTAAGGCGAGAAGAAGCTGAAATAATTAAGGCGATAAGAAGCTATCACGAAAAGACATACTGAACGATGTTTTTTTTTAACGAAGAAAAGTGGTAAAGATTTCATTTTTATTTGCGAAAAGAAAGAGTATATTTTTTTCTCTCGCAGAAGATAGGAGATTCGTAAGATATCGGATCTGTCGAATTAATTTATGTTACGGGGCGACGAATAAGAGATAGCCATCTGCCCATGGCAATAAGGAAAGTTTCAAATTGGTCAAGTGGCCTACAAGACAGAATGCTAAGAGATAATGGTAATCAGGCCACCCAAGAGAGAGAGGGAAAAAATAAATCATTAACTATCTTTCGGAGATGTCATTGTTTTTGGAAAGAGACCACCTGTTTTATTGTCCAAACCTGGACATGATAAAAGTTTGTTATCGGAAGAGATAATTAGCGACAGAATGCGAATACGTCCAGTTAACTACCCACTTGACGCTGGCGAAAATCTCGATTGATAAAGTCCAGGTGACATTCGGTTTTAGATAGAGATTAGGGACCACATCACGTGTCGTGAGAGGTCTGCTCGGGGAAGAGAAAGAAAAAAAAAAAGATAATTTTTTTTTATTTCCTTTGAGCGATAATTGCAAACACCCACCCTGCTGAGCGTTCATTGGATGAATGGTGGCGTGAGCGGTAGGCGAAGGTAAACATGTGAGAGAGAAGGGAGGCCTGTTGACGCCTCTGAGGGGATTGGTGTGAGATACCACTATGAGAAAGAAGTGAAACCTGTTGACGCCCACTGAGGGGATTGATGTGAGATACCAACATGAGAAAGGAAGAATTTGGGAGGACGATTCCCTTAAAGTAGAAAGTAATGGACTTCCAAAAATGGAAAGTGATAAATTTTCCTGTCCGAAAACAAAGAAAATCCTTATTGTGGATTTAGAATTATCAAGAACCTCAAACCCCGACAGGTCCACCCCGGTTTTGGTCGGTTTTGGTCGGCGTCCATATAAGCAGAGTCGCAGTCAGTAAGTCAGTCAGAGTAACAAAGAAAGCAGTTGGAAGTTGAGTCAGAGAGAAGTTAGTTGCAGTTGAGCTGTGAGCTCTGAGACCCTCCTCGCAAGAAGCTGACTGTAGATCCACGCATCCCGACCTCAACTTCTAACCAAGAACAATTAATTTTTGAAGAACGACTTAGACTCACACCACCAAAAAAAGTTTTACGAATATCGCCTGAAGATACACCAAAAACCAGTTTCTTGAAAAAACAACTTACGATGTTAAGACTCGCCTAACAAACGCAAAGTGTCACGTATCCATATTAGCAGTTTGGGAGAAAGATGAAGTCCTGTATTCAGCGACCAGATATAAAATATTGTTATCCTTTTTTTAACACATTTGAACTTTTGGAGTTGTTACTTTATTTTCTTTTGCATATAGTTGTGCGGTGTTACCTTTGCTCAGACTCGGCTTGCATTGCAGCCCGGCGACTGATTGATTTCGTCTACCTAAGGTCAAATCACAACGTAGGTAGGTTAGACTAGAAATCAAAGCAGTTACTTCGGTAACCTGACGTTGGAGGCGAGCTGGGAACGACAAAGCTGATACCGAACCTAACCAGATTCCCATCCGAATCAGCAAAAGTGTTAGAACGTCACATTTGGTGCCGCGACCAATACCAAGTCACATTGGTCGTCTCAGGAAAGGACGGCGACGGCGATGGCACGGAGAGAGGCACGGGGTGACGTCACACAATTATTTTTTTTTTATTTACAATAAGGGTCAATCTATACAGGGCCTGGGTGCTACTCGCGGTCACGTTAAGGGCAGTTTATACAGATAGTTGGAGAAGATAACGTTTAATCTTAGACTCGAACAGGTTAAGACTGTAGTGATCCGGGAAACATCCTCTTAGGAGTCGATTCCAAAAAATAGCAGAAACCGAATCACTTGAGGAGTTCATCAAAAAAAGCTGCTAAAATGAATATCACGTGTTTCTTGAAGAGAAAATCATGACATAATCAAGATGCTGACATTCCACACGGCCTCAAGCAAAAGGCAAGGAAGGAAACTCCCATCAATATGGGAATGGCTGCTAACAGCTTCTGGACATGAGAAACCTATTTTCCTGAAAAAGTGTTTTCAGAGAAAGATTTTATAAATTTCAATCGAAAGAGAAAATAATGATATAATCAATATGTTGACATTCCACACCACTTCTAATAAAAGGTTAGCAAGGAAACTCCATCAATACTGGAAAGAGTCATAACAGCTACTGGACTATTTTCCTGAAAAGATGTTTTAAGAGAATGATCTTAAAAATTTCAACCGGTAGTTGCACTGGCTACTCGGTCAATAAATGCCGAATGTTTCCTTATAAGGAAACGGCTAATTAGAGATAAGGTTAACAGATACTACATTTTGATTCCAGTCGGATTGTTAGGAAAGAAAGAAAAACGTAATTCGTATGACACGGGTTCCTCGATCACTGAATGCCGAGTGGAAGTTACTTCTCACCGATGGAATATAGAGGAAATCTGAGTGGTTTGCTACGATATAAGTGACATGCTGGGTGCGATCCTGAAGGTTAGACCTGGGGGAACCAAGGAATGTAGTTTGTCCGGGCACTTTCCATAGAAGTAGCGGCAGAGTAGTGAAAGGCTTGCACGTAAGAGAGAGGTTCGAGAGTAGAAGACTGGTTCGTTTTAATCACTTACACGCAAACACCCTTAGAAAATGGAGGGAGCTGCCTCTTCTCACCCAGCTATGGATTAATTACCAAGGCTTGTATCAATAAAACCATTATTATCTCCAAAATAAAAAATAAAATTGCGCACAAAATATTTAGATTTCAGCATTAAATAGTGATTTTTCAAGCGCAGTTTAGATGTGACACAAGGCCGAGAGTAGGCGGCACCCAGTGAGGATCGAACCTCACTTACAATTATTATATATATATATATATATATATATATATATATATATATATA